GTGCGGCAAGGAGGCACGGCAGCGCGCCGAAAAGATATTAAAAGTTGTGGTCACCCCTGCAGAGACCAAGGGAGCCATCCCTAAAGTTAATATGAACGCGGAGGAAGGAAAAAGAGCGGCCGAAATGAACCCTCAAAACGCGTACTTGCATGTATAATTTCTGGTGGCGGGAGCTTGTAAAACCGCGAGCCAAGCAAGAGAGACAAGGAACGGTTGTTTTAATTTTTATTCTTATTACCCAGAAGCGCCGTTTAAAAAGTCTGCGTCGAGCTTCGTTATTCCCCAAGAACCCGATACTAATTAAAATTGCGCCGCGTCGTTGCCACTCTGCGACGGGCTAATTTTTCTAGAATAAAAAGAAATTTCGTGTTTTGTATGGAAATTGAGGCGGCGGCCGGGTCCCCAGCCACTTTGTCCCTTCTACATTTTTATGTTTATTTAGCCAGCCACGGAAAGAAAGGGCTGGCGTGGCCGAGAGAATGGAAAAGGAAGAGCGACGAGCGTCTAATTTTTTTCGGCGCGCGAGTGAAAAATCCTGGGAGAATAAAAGAAGTGGAATAATGTAATTTACAACAGTCGCCCGTTGTGTAGAACCAACCGTATTATTTGAGAAGCTGTGTTGAAAGAATTAGACTTCTTTCTTTTCCTCCCTTGCTCCTCAGTCATCCTTTTTTTAAATTTCCCTGCGGAAGTAAAAATTTGCTTGGCACCAGCTCGTAATTTTCTGTCCAATTTAGGTAAGGAATAAATTTCAGGAGTTCATTTAATTATAAAAATACTCATTATGCCATCTTAATTTATTATCAATCCATTATAATAAAGTTTAATTTAATTTTAGTTTAATTTATAATGTTTCGGATATAATATTTTTTAACACAACTTTTGCTCAAGACTCAAGACTAATATGCACCTGTATCAACAGCAAACACCGTAAAAAGTTTTGAAAAGGAAAATATGAAAATATTTTATTGACATTGATTAGTTACAATTTTATGATTTATTCCAGATTTAAAATAGAAACAGGTAAAAAATGAATAATTTTATATTAATGATCACAATAATAAATAATTAAATTAAATAATTACCGATCTCAGTCATTAAACGTTTATAATTAACTTGTTAAAAATGATTTTGGTAACAATACAATATTTATAAAAAAAAAATAATGTGTATGTTTTTTAAGATAGAAAATAGAGCATGTTTATCAGTAAATTTTTTTCATTGTTAGTTCATGTCGATAAAATCTAATCAAATTTCGTAAGCGGTAAACATGACATTCATTTTAACAAAGACCATGAGGCGGCGAGAGCAGAATAAATCACCAAACAAATGGGCTTCTCTCTCGCCGCATGCACTCTCGGCTTTCGTACGAGTGTGTGATATTTTTAGCGCACCGAATTCAATTAATGGGGAGACGCGCGGCCGCTTTATTTACCCGTTTTGTAACCAGATCCTATTTATTCATTGCTCGCCGCCGCCGCCGTGTATTTGCGTATGATCAACGCGCAAAAGATGAAGCGTCGCCGTCATAAAACAAATTAACGCGCAGCCGAGCCATCTGCCAGCAATCACAGATCATCCTCCTTCTCTTTTTCCAACAAGTGACTCATCGCCAATATGTACAAATTCACCCGCGAAGAACTGCATAGGATGGGGTGTCTCTGCGCCTTGTCATGCTAATCCGCCGGCAGGCAGTGCCATAGGGGCATAATATGTATCATCGCGATTGCGGCTAATAAACTCAATTATGCTCAGCTTCCTCACGGTGAGAGCACCAGCCGGAAAATGTCGCTCTAATTGCGGATCATATTTCACAAATAGTGCAAACGCCATGTAGAGTAGCAGCAACAGACGGAAGGCTGAAAAACTTGAATTCAAAACTTGTCAATAAGCAGCGAACTGTAACATAACTATTTAAAAATTAAACATTTTATTTAACTGATTTTTAAATTAATATATAATTTTATTTACTATTTTTTGTTTGTTTATCTTTTTAAAATTATTAATTTTAATAAATTCATTTATTATGTTTTAATAAAAACATCTAATTCAATACTCTCTTTGAACATAAAATTTCAAAATTCATCGTTCATATAGTAATGAATTAAATATTTATGTTTTATTGCATCACCCATATTACACAATTACTCAGATGATTCCTGCGAGATATATTTTGGAATAGGCTATCCTGCCATCACTGTTAGTAAGATTGTAGATTGCTATAGTAATTATTGTATTTGAAACTGAAGTCCTAAGGTGAGACATTCTCCTTTTATTTCGTGCATTTAAATATACGAGAGTTAAAACTAGATTAATAAACTATAAACTATACAAAAATAATATTATAAATTGTTATACAGATTACATTTGTGTATTTCAATGTTTTCGAAGAAAATGCAACTTAATTTTCGTGTCCAAAGTTTGATAAAAAGAGCCAATGCATACAAGGTCAAAATTGTTTGTCAGCAAAATATTGCCACTCTTCTTGATCAAATGATTATTTCCTTTTTCCTTTACAAGCAAAGTCTGTTTTTTAATTAAGTCCTTGTTAATATGACGTTTTTTCCATAATTTTTAAGCACACAAAGATTCCGCAGGTACTATGAAGCTTCTGCCGAAAAGACCCTCTGCAGAGACAGTTTTACAACATTTGTTAAAAAATTGAAGGAAGAGTCGAGTCAATAACGAGGCGGTGCTTAAAAAAAGGCAGAAGGGAGTGGTCAGTCTATATTTCCCCCTTCCCATACAGCGACGGCTCCTTTCCTTTTTTCTCTTCTTATATTTTCCTCACGGATCCGCGCAACTTTTTTCGCGCACGTTATAGGCCACTAGCCATCTCTTTTTATTATTTTCCTTCCGTTTTATTTTCGAGACAGCGAAAATTCTCCTCCTCCTCCTCCTCTGGCGCTCCGCTGCTGCATCCCTGGAGATGAAATTACTCGGTTTTTCTCAAACGAGAAGCCTGTGTTTGTCAGCATAGCGGAGGAAAGCTCGCTTGCATCTGTTTTCAACTGGTTGACTCGCTTTTTACTCCCAGGAGCCTCAGGCGATTCTGTCTTAATTGAATTCTAATTCTTGTTTAAACAAATCTCTACCACACAGAAAGAAAATAAAAATCTTTATATGATAATTGAACAAGTTCTTTTTATCGCAACGTTGTTCAGTCTGCGAAATAAATCAGCCCTCAAGAAATATTGAGAAATGGAATTAGGCAACCTGCCTGACGCTCAAGAAAAGCAGGAAGTCTGCTTTTTTCTCTCAAGATAATTTTGTAATTCAAAGTTGTATTGATTGATTTTTTTTAATGGACCAAATAATTACATTAAACTTTATATATTATAAAATGAAATAATATGCATAATATTTTGTCGTAATTTTTTTGACAAAGTTTGTAATTTTCTGTTTTAATATTTACCTCGATCACTTCAAGTTAGACGCAGCCGCGCAGAGCTCAATTTTCTCATTCAATTACTTTTTGGACCATTTATTTTAGCCACCCCATCCAAAATTAATAGCACTCGGAGCCTGTTAGCGATCGCAATAAATCACCCTTCATAATTAGAGGTCATTTTATGGGCAAGACGGCCGGGCAGTTTTAAAAATGACCATCGGCGCGGAATGTCCAGTGCGATTTAATAGATCCATACATCGTGTGCCGGCGTCCTCTCCCACTTTTTGCCATTTCTCTTGTGTGTGTGTCCTTTTCCTTGCTCGCAAATAACTTTTCCATCCTCTCCCTCTCGCCGCCGTCGACAGACACAAAATACGCCGTGCACACGCCAGCCGAGTTGTATGCGAAGGACGACGGATGGACCGACGGACACATAAGCACTCTCACGCTTGCGTTTCGCAACAACTTTTGCCAGACTCTCGAATTTCTCAACTTGAGCCTGTCTGAGCTCCAAGTTTAAGAAAGAAAATGAATAAGTGGGGCATTCAAAAGTTTTGGAAATGAATTGCAAAATAATTTGCATGCATTTATGTAGTTTTACCAATAATATCAAAAGAGTAATGAAAAATATCAAAATTTTATAACACAAATCAAATAACTTCAAAATTACTTAAAATATATCAATTGATTTTCTTATTAAATCCAAATTTAAATAATTTAAATCATTCCATTATAAAAATTGGGTAAAATAAGAAGAATATCTTCTGAACTTCTAATTATTATGCAATATTTTCCTGAAAAATATACCTTAAACCTGTAATCCAAGTTTATGACGCGAATTCATTCGTAGTGCACTCTGTCCGAGTGGAATTGCAAACAGCAATAAAATAAAGACGCACAAGTGAGTCTTTTCCACCCGGCAACAGTGGCAATTTCGTTCGGGCAGCTGCTGCTTGTATAAAAATGTATGAGGCAGCGAGGTTTTGCTGCTGCTGCTGCTGTTTAGTTATAAAAATACAGCACGGCCAACCCTGAGTTATAACTTTTAGGGAGGCCGGCACAATATAGGTGGAGGCAAGGCTGGGGCGGCCATTTGTGCACCACCGGCGCAATATAGCCGAGGGAATGGCCAGTAACCATTGAGAAAGCTTTGTAGCCACCATAAATAAGATTAATGTGGTACGGCCGAGGAGAAGCACACACGCGGAGCAGAAGACTATGCCATACTATGGCTACTACTTGAAGTTATCTCGCCGTATATGTACATACATGTGTGTGTTGTGCTCACGTACACGTGTGTGTGTGCGTTTGCCTGCCGAGCAGCGCACAACAATACCACTTTCCGAAGATTAGAAAAGGGGCGGGTGGAAAAGTTATGGACGGAAAAGCTGCCGCGTTGTATGTACATTTAATGGCAAAAAGTGGTGCCCCTGCAAATGTATAAGCCTGTTATATTTACGACGCTGGACGAACGCAGTTCCAATTTATTCGCTACTTACAATATCACCAGCTAGCCAAGATAAGCCAAACGCTGGCTCCATGATCGTTTCTTTTTTCTTCTTGCGATTAATGCTTAACAAAAATAAATTTGAAAAAGCCTTACAAAATATCTTGATGATAAATTTTTTTTAATTATTTAAAATAAATACACTCTTTTTTAATTACAGTCTGCACACACAATATATCTAATACAAAGAAAAAATATTGATTTTTTTCCCTAAAATTAACAATTAAAACAAACAATACCTTCATTTTTGGAATGCTCAATTTATATTTATTTGCATGGTCGTCAGGGTTGTTGGAGTAATTTGTCATGTAACAAAATTATTCCTCACTGCGAGGTGTCACATTCAATTGAATTCCACCTTTTGCCCTGAGATTAAAATCGCTGGGATCTATCGTGGGTGGGTATTGCGTTTTTCCCGCTAAGGTCACGTCAAATTTGCTAAAGATCGACGCAATGCCCATTTTGGACTGAACCAGAGCTAATCGATTCCCTGCGAAAATTAATTAGAAATATCAGCTCTGATTGATCTGATACCTAGAAAATATTATCTTTATACAAACCTATGCACTGTCGAGGGCCTTCTCCAAACGGCATGTGGATGTATTGATATTTGTGCAGAGCGTTTTCGTCCATAAAACGCTCTGGGTCAAACAACTCTGGATTGGGGAAGTATTTGGGATCATTTTGAAGAGAGTAGATTGGAATCATCACTGGAGTTCCTTCTTTGATATGAATTTTTGTCCCAGGAATTGTGTAGTTTTTGGTACAGACTCGAAAGATCGTAATCACTGATGGATATTTACGCAAGGTTTCTAAAAATTAATATTTTCTTTTAGTTATGTGAGAAATATTAAAAAAGAGTCTAAAATGTATACCTTGAACAACAGCGTCTAGATATTTCATCTCTTTCAATGCATCATATGTGAGTTTTCCTCCGTGGTTGCTCAAAGCCTGGTCGATGTCAGCCTGAAGTTTCAACTGGGCGTCTGGGTTTGCGGCAAGTTCCAAGCTCGCGAACGAAATCAAAGTTGAGGAAGTCTCAAACCCAGCAAAGAAAAACACAACGGCCTGTGCGGTGAGGTCATCTTGCGTGAGTTCTAATGAAACACATTAAGGAAGAAGATATATTTTTTTTTTAAATCATACTTATTGTGTCCATTTTTTGAACTCCATAACCATTGATTTCCTTTTCATCTTCAGCGTTGTCAATTGAAACTGATCCTTTTTCTTTCAACTCTATGAGCAGCTGCATGAAATCTTTGCGAATTTGTCCTGTCTTTTTTCTCAACTCCATTACGTCTGGTACCAGCTTGGAGAAGAATTTTGTCACCTCGTGGCTAACAAGAGTCAGTGGGAGAGACGTGCCAATCTGAAATCATGTATTGCATTCAATTTTTTAATTGAAATCTCAATAATTTCATATACATATGTATGCTGATTTTTAATTTTTATTTTCTTACCTCTGGCAAAAATACAGCAATAAAGTTTTTTACTGCCGTCCAAAAATCTGGCTCAGCCACTTTCCTTCCCATTTTTCTAAATTCGGTATTTGGTTCGTCAATTGAATTGCATTCAACCCCGAAAACGCAACTGGCAATAACGTCTGTGGTAAATCTCGAGGCCAAGTCCTAAAACAAGCAGATTCTCATTTACAGTTTTAATTAATGCAAAATCGCAACCTTTGCGTCAACAGAGTTCCCCTGTTTTGCCTGTAGTTTTAAATGCGCTTGCAAATTTTGGCCAACTTCCTCAATTAGCGGTGTCATCATTTTTATTTTTCCAGAGGTGAACGTTGGTGACAATTTGCTCCTCATGTTTTTCCATTTTTCAGATGCAAGGCTAAACAGATTTTTTGACACTATCCAGTTAGCCTCTTCATGCATCTAAGTTTCATTATTTTCGAAATATTATTTACACCAACGAGTTTATATTAATATACCTGCATGCCACGATCGTAAAAATGAGCAAAATCCTTTACAACGATGGTCTTGATGAGTTCAGGGTCTGTTATTAAAAGGGAAGCCCTTCGGCCCTGGAAGAATCCAACGAACTTTTCGCCACTAAATTGCTTATAGATGTGGTCAAGGTCAAGAATAAAGTGCTCTTTCATAGTCATCGACCGTTTAAAGGACCCAAAAATTGGTACTCCCTTCACATGCTTGACACCCATCTTTTTCCAGTGGTCAAACTCCATGGTCAGGAAGTAGTAGGCCAGCCCCAGCAAAGTGACCGACAAGCCCAGAAGCACATTTAGCCAAAGTGGAAGTAGCCACCACATTGTGATGCTTTGGAACAATCAGGATGCACAGAAATGAAATAATGGTCTACGTGAGTCGCGTTTTGCTCCTTATATTCAGTGCAAAACCCAAGATAACAATTATATTCACGTGATAACTTAAAAAAGATTGCATCATATAATTCTTTGATCACTTTGTACATACTCGGACTTTTGAGGATCTTGTTATCAATAGAGTGTACCATATATTTTTAATAACACGTAACTGCATTTTTATTGATAATATTATTGCGTCATCGCCTGATATCGCTTAAAATTAAGATTTCAATTATAAAAGCCAACATTTGGTGAAAACACTTATATAATTACAGCTGCATCATTCTAACTTCTTGAGATAAGTAACATGCTTTATTAAACTATAATGTCTATAATTTGTTTCTCAACTCTCAAAACATTATCAATTTCTAAAATTTCGGCAATTAAAACCTAAAAATGCTTGCATTTTGAAAGAGCATTATCTGGATATCTGATTTTTTTCATAACATAACCTTAAACAAATTTCTAACTAATTATGAGAAAAAATTATTTATGATCCTCAATCAGCAAACGTTAATATCACAAAAATGCTGAATGTAAATTCGAATTGAATTAAGTAATATTCCTGAGCTACAGAAGATTTACCGAATTATGTTTTTTTGAATATCCTGAATTATATTAAAAGGCCAATCTGCATTGCAGTCCACGTGTTTTTAATTATCTCTTTAAATATTTCTTTAATTTGCAGCTAACTAATATTTTTTGCGAAACTAGTATTTAATTTTTTTACTGATTTTAATATAGTTTACTTATGCAATTGTTTAATCAAAAATTTCATTAAGATTTTTTTTTTAATTAAAAAAAAATCTATGCCGATGAGATTGATCTAAAAAATTTGATGACTGTAAAATTAGGCTAATGTACTAAATAATAAAATGAATCTTTGCTCATGAACGGTTCAAATAATTTTAAAATGTTAAAATAATTATTAATAAATGCAAGTTTTGTTGTTGGTGTTGTTGAATGAACGTTTCAAATGATTAATATGTATAATGTTCATTTTGGATTTTGGATGGAAACTTGGCGAGATTCGCGGCCGCTGCGTTGACGAGATGAGGCGAAACAAAAACATCGTGGCTGTCCTTCGGGGGCCTCCATCAATCTTCGTCGTCGTGTCGTTTTCCTAAATGATGTGACCTAGAGACCAAATCAATGATAAATTGCCTCTCCACCTGCTCGGCCGGGTGGCAAAACAAATTTGCACGCTTCTGACAGCTCAGCACGCGAATTTGGAGCCCCCGGTAAAAAAAAGCGGGCGAACAGGAAAGTAGCAGGGGGAGCCGCTTTTATTCCACGAGATAATTGCTCAAGCAGGCAAAACAACTGCGTGCCGTCACCCCAGCGCAGCCGCCGTCCTTTTCAGTCATTATTTTTCTTGGAATAAAAAAGTAGTAGTCCCTCAAATAACACATTTCAAAAGAATTCCGACGGCGGCGATGTTGATATTGCAGAGGTGGAAAATAAAGAGCACGCAGAATTTTTCAGCACAAAGCACCCTCTTATTTTGCCTTTTCCTCTCTTGCTCGCTCGGTCGGCCGCGCTCCCTGTGTTTTCTTCATTTCTCATTTACAGCATAGTGACCCACGAGTTGGAGGCCTTTGTTCGGCAGTGAAATAAAAAAAAGAGCGGCTGAAGAGATAATATTCAGAGGACAAAAAGAGAAAAGGGAATATAGAATGAGGCGGAATTAAAAGAGGGTACATTTGAATATAAGCGTTTTCAATATATTTATACTATATATACTTTATCACACGTTTGACGAGAAATTAATTTGAAAATTGGGTTCAATTAAAAAGTTATTTTGTACAAAATAAGAAATTTTGAACAATAGAGAGTAAACAATAATTATGAAGCTAATTATTTTAATAATTCCATTCTTGTTTTATTTCCAACTATGCAACTTGCCCGACATCTTTGCATAGCGAAATGCCTAACTTCAGTTTTTATTTCTTATTTGAATTCGGTATAATTTATTTTAAAATTAGGGACAAAAGTTTATTATCTTTGGTTGAAATAAATCATTGATCAAGCAAGTTTCGTTGGATTGAATTCGAAGAAATTATCTAGAAATTTAGGAGCCACTTGAAATGCCGTTCGCGGTCTCTTAGGCGGTCTTGTTCATCCAACTACAGCAGTCCGTTCATTCCTTGGCCGTTTGGTCTGTTGCCGATGCCAAGCGAGCGACCGTTGGGGCGCACCACCCTTTCCTTCCACCTCACCTGTTGATGCATGTTTAAGAGAGCTCCTATATGGTGGTGCTCCAATCCTTTCTTCTTTACTTCCTCCGCCTGCAACAAATAACAAGAGGCTCTTTTATTGGCGCTGCAACTCGGGCCCCACGGAGTTGTTATTTACATGCGTGCCCTGTTTAAGCATTTAGGAGGGCACGTGTCTAGCACACACTTACGTTACACCACTTTTTGATTTAATACTGCCGTACAACCGGTTGATTGACTTTTTACTAATGCAAACAGCGATTCGGATTGTAAGGACAGTAATTCTTTTGAAATGATAAATTTACAAAACAATTTAATAAAACAACACTGAAATCTGCTAAAAAAATTTAATGGATTTATTTTCTGCCGTTTTTTTAATCAATACTATAAAACTTCTTAATCTTTAATAATCTGCATTTGGGAAACAATATATTTTTTTTTTTTAATTTTTAAAGCTATTCATAAATTTAATGAAAAATTCTCTCAATCAATGTATAGGCTCAGAGGAGTAGGAACAAAATCATTTTCCTCAATAAGGGAACATCTTGCTGAGATCCAAAACTCCCTAATAGCAGAAAGTCATTTTCGTTGTGTGCACCACGTGCCGCTTTTCCGTGTTTGTATGTATTTACAATTGTGCATGGCAATAAATTAACAAAGAAAGCCATCACAACTGCCGGCTATAAATTATCATTTGCGCGCAATATTTGAGCGCGAGAGAGGAAGCGCAGCAGCCCAGTTGTTTTGTATTATTTCTGGCTGGTCATCTGGCGGAGGCTGCTTGCGCTCCTCTTCGCAGATCAATAAAGCCTTGCCGCCGCCGCCGGACAAGAAAGATGGCTTGGAGATGAACAAAAGGGGAGAATATCTGCGTGGTGCGAGAGCTGTACAGCGAGATACAGAAAGATGAGAGGGGCACACGCAGCACTCACCCAGGCAACAACTGACCGCACCGCCACCCTCGCCCTCCCTTGCTCGCGCATTTCACATAAAACCATCCACCGCCGGCCATTGCAGTTTTCGCTTCATTTTTACTGCCATATGGGTTTAGGGTGGCCAGTTTTCCCTCTTTGTTCATGAAAAGCCTTGCCAAATTTTAAATTTATTGCATCTGATATAACAAAATTCTTATTTTTTCCCTTCATTTTGTTGCATTGTTGGTGATGATTAAATAAATTTGTTTATTTTTCCCCTAATTTAGAAACTTTTTTCGAACTTTGTAGAGATAAACAAGATTTACTTTCACTAGTTCATTAACATACCTGCTACATGCACTAACCGAATGCATTTTGTACAGATTTTAAGAATTATGCAATATTTATAATATTATTTAAGGCAGAAAGAAGGTCGAAGAAGCAGATTTCATTTTCATACATTTTGATGTTCTTAACATTCACTGAAAGCCACTGTCAGCCTTTCATTTTTATATACATACATTTCTGCTTTTTTAACGTTTTTTTTTTATTCATTTTGCATAAAAATTCAAAATAATAATTAGTATATTACAGTTTAAAAAAGTAATATATTAAAGTAAAAAAATTATTTTTAAAAGTAAATAAACAATGCGTATTAAATGTATTCCTTGTGCATGTTTTAATTTTAATTAATAATTTGCTACATAACTTTTTATATTGTTACTAAATATATTAAATAAAAACTTAAACTTTTTGATACAGAATTTATGCAAATTAATTTTGACAGAGAATGTACTTCGTTGATAAATAAATAAACAACTCAACATAATTGATAAAAAAAAATAAGTCAACAAATTAAATTATTCTCTCGTTTCATGTTGCAAATCAAAGAAATCCTTTTCTAGATTCGGTGGCAGCACAGTGCAGAGATTGGTCCTTTTCCCCTCCTCTCCATCTCGTCTTCACTCTCATTAGAGCGCTTTAATTTTCCAAATGAAACAAAAACAATCCAAATCGAAATTCGACGAATTTCTCGCGGTCTGACGTCATCCGCTTTGATCGTTATTAGCTTGATTACATCAGCGCTGATTGAATTACAATTAAATTTGCGAGTGTGTTTTTGTCGTCGGAGCGAAATGTTTTGACGCAGCATCCTCATTACCACCGCCGATCATTGGTGCAATTTCGAAATACACACACGCGGCCGAGGGAGATGCATGTAGAGACTATATAGACCTTGCTTGTATTCCAATACAGATCAGTCAGCTTTATTGCTACTATGTGCACAGCCGCCGTGGTTCTCTCTGCTGCTTCATGTAATGTTTACCCAACACAAAATTGCTTTCCAGAGTTCAATATCGATTCAATATATATGATGATCATTTTGATGACGATGCTTTCGCTCGCCTGCTTTATTACGTACCCTGTCGGTCGGCCGCATGTACCGTCGGCTGCGTTCAATACCCTCCCATCGCCCTCCCTCGCTCTCTCGGTACATGCGGCACATACACGTAAATTTTGCATGTTGCTCTGCGTGCGTGCGAGTGCGATCAGTGCCGGCTGATCCGCCATGCAAAAACATCAACCAGCCCGACACACGGACAGACCGACCCACCACCCACCCACACATGGCTGCGTTTTCAATAACTCGCGAGAGCAAAAAGCAAACACATAAAATGCGGTGGCGAGCGTTTTATTTTTTTGACTCTTTGTGATGGGCACGTTTTTAAAAATGAAAATCTCATCAGTTCAGTTTGGTTAATTGATGCAATTGAGCTGACGTTAAGTGCTTTTTAGAAATAAACCTAAATCAATTACATATAGCTGTTATTTTTTTATGATTTTTGTGGTAATTGATTATATAATTTATGTACTAACTCTTTCAAATAAATACTATCACCATTTTAAAAGTACATTAAACCTTAACTTTCTTGGCTAATTTGATTAAATTATTATTGTTTATTTGTCCAAATTGTCAAATCACATTGTTAACTTACTTATTTATTATGATTTATAAATGTATGTTCCTATTAAAATTTTTACTTCTGCAGACTCTTTTCTTTACTATAGCAAAATTAAATAATCATTTCACAGATCAAATGAAATGTGCAATACTTCACAAAACAAATATTTAAAAAAAAATATAATACTCGCAATCCAACCGGAATTTAATTCTTATAGCAGTGAAATGATATTAAATAAGAAATTACTGAACAGCATCCATTGCTATGCTTAAAATGTCAGTGTAGAAAGGCTTGACGCCTACAAAGGTGAGCGACGATTCATAAAATTCTTCAAGGCTGCAAGTCACACTATCCACCATGGCAACGACAAGCGAGTTCATCGCTAGCACTGGAACTTGTTGATAAATTGGATCACCTTCGTAATACTTTAAGAAACGAGGAATAAATTTTTTGAGTGAAAGGGAAAAAATTAGATTACAGAACATGATGAAGTACTATCAAAAACATTGCATGTCTGCGTGGCTGCGTCCAAATTCGGATCAGTGCATGACGATGCTGCCTCCACCTGTGTAGTATGGCCAAACAACTCCTTAAAGTAAATAATAATTAGTAATAATAATAAAAATTTGAAAGCAAACGAACCCCAGTTGAACCTTTGTACCATAATATGCGACCCTCCGCTGTGGTGTTGAAATCAGGATATGAAGTTGGGGTCAATGGCATTACAGGGCCCTTGTATTTGTAACATGTCTTGAGCACCGTCATTTGCAACAAACCTTCAACCACGTTTCTTTTGTTAACTAATTCTGTGGTTCCGTCGGGAAGACGCAGTGAAAATCTATTAAGATCGGCATTGCTAAAAAATTCAATTGAAAATTTGTGGTGAAAAAATATTAATAATCAGCCTTGAAATGAACATAAAAAGACATTTTAAAGAGAAATTCTTTGCAGAAAGTCAAAGTAATTTAATTTTCACTCGCAAAAAATGATCAGGCTAAAATAAGAAAAAAAGTTAATCCTACACAAAATCACCATCTCCGTAGGTTAAAATAGTGTGTCTTGATAGGAACATTCCAGGTACAATTTGATTGACCTCACTTGTTGTATCAGGATCTGGAGCAATTTGTACCAATACCTAAACACAGATAGTAATTTTATTCTGAAATTCAGATTTACATTTTTACTTGCCATATAAGGGAATTCGGTCGCATTTTGAAGAATATGGGGACCGTCAACAGCCCAAACTGAAATAATATTATATTAAACCCTTTTATGTTGTTAAATTATATTCGAACCACCTGGTTGAGCGAGAAGACTAATTACGGCTGCAATAAAAACCTCTTTTGATCGAACCGCTCTCATTGTCAGTTTTGTTGCGAGAATGGTAAAGAACAAGCTTCACTCTTGGCTTTGAACAAATGTAGACCGCGCTGTTGCAGTTCCACCGCTGACAAAAGTGCAACGCTTGATTGCGAAACGTCAAGTGTTCTTGACAGGCATAATTATGCTGTCACCACAGATATGACTTTCCTTGCTTGTAAAGATAGTTTTCCTCCGAATAAGAACATAAAGTTCAACGCTCTATATGAACTCTAATTTTCCTTGTCAGGAAAAAAAACTAACCAAGAAGGTTCAAATGTCAATAAGTGTTTCCTCAACGTTTTAGTAAATTTTTAAAATATATATTTGAAAGTATTAATATTTATGAAAACAAGATTTTTATTTAGAATGAGTAATAATAATTGTGATTTAATGTTAACAATTTTGAGGTTGGAAAAATGTTTTCGAAAGTCATCTACATTCCAGGCTACTGGTTTTATTCGCGTGCACAAACGCCACAGACGATAACATATATGAATTATGAGTAATCATTTTAATGACACTAATTATGCACTGCAGTCTGGTACTACCATTATAATAAAAATTAAATTAGGTTCCCAACAGGTGTTGTAAATTTCTAAAGCTTTTTTCACTTTGTGAAAATTGTAGTGCGCATAAAAGAAGCAGAGCAGATCATAATTCAAGTTTTGATTTTATCTTGGTACATGCTTAATTTTATTTATTTTAGCTGGACTCTGATGACAAATTAAAATTATTTTATTTTTAAGTATAATTATATTTAGAAAATCTTAGTTAAAACTTGCTTTCAATCTCCACATAAAAAAATAGTATTTTAATTTCTGGTTTTCAGTGAAATATCGGATAGTACAATTTAGAAGAATTTAATTTTTTACTTAATTTTATAAGCTTATTATCGTGAAATAGGATTTTTTTAAATCATTCCCATAAGTGCATTAATTTTGAACAAAACCCCGTCGCTTTGTTTCGCTCCCCTTGCGTGGAAAGGCAAGCAAGAGACATTTACAATTTACCTCCCTCTGTCGTTGTAGAAATTTTGTGCCAACGTACTAAATAATGCATCGTGTTTAGACAGTCGTATGAATCCCTGCTCGCGAAACACAGCAGTAAGCATGAAACTGGCAGACGCTTTCTTGCGCCGTCGTCTACAATGATAAATTCATTATAATTCCTGGTCGTCATTTTAATTCCGCTCGCAAGAAGCGCGAGCTCTCCTGCAGAAAGGATTAATTCTGGGTGGAGGGCGCAAAAAGGATGATGGAGCGAGCGAGAGAACATCAAGTTGGGGTGAATTGTGTGCAAGTTTGCGGGGTCTTACAAAGTCCCGGCGTCGTTTCAATCAGCCGCCGCCGCTACTGATGGAATATTACACGCGCGCCAGAATTAATTCATTCATTCGCCAGCACCCGGAAATTTTAATTTGGCGCCGCACAAAGAGAGAACAAGAGGAGAAAAAGCCAATCTCGACGCGCAGATATTCATACATAGGCGGCCGAGCCAAAATTTAAATTAGCGACGCCAAAGTTTGCTTTCTGCAGCCCTCGGAGAGCGCTTTGAAGTTTAAAAATGAATTACTTTTGCTGGATTTCTGACACTGTCACAGTCCAAAAAGTTGTTCTTTCTGCGTGCTCAACATTTCTGCCTCGCAGAATGTGTTTTAAATAATCCACCGTTTTATGTCTGCCTGCAGTTGGCCGACGCTCTGGTGACAATGAGCGCCGAGTGTCACTAAAACGAAAGAGGAACTTTGCTGCATACCAAGTTATTAAAACAGTTTGTATGAATGCATAATTTCTTTTTTCCAATGAAAAAAAAATAAGCTTTTGGTCAATTCTTAGAAAACTCATTAACAATAATAAAATTAATTTTAAGTTCACCTTCTTTTTACTCACAATCAAATAATTTTTTTTACAAAATGAAATAATTTAGAATTATTAAAAAAAATTAATTTCTTTATTTGAATTCAGTTTTAATTCCTATTTTATCTTCAATCTTAATGTAATGGATCTTTTAAAAAAAAAAAAAACTTTCTAATTTTATTTTGATTAAACTAATTTTTGTATTTACACATCGCGATCAATAAATTTCTTCGGTGAATGGAACATGTCGGTAGTTCGTCAAAAGTGACCCAATTAATGTGTGCCTAGGTGGGCTGCAGTGGGCCGAGTGTCTGCGGTTGCACTCGCAGCCCCTCATATTCCCCCTAAGCAACTCTTGCGGTTTCGCCGGCGCCGCGCACACTATGCAAGATGGGCTCCTTTTGCAAGAAGTGGTGGCGCACAACACGTCTGCCAAGATAAAACGCACCCCTTTCAAGAGAGCCACTGCCACTCGGTGATTGCAGCTCGCAGTCGGATTGAATCTACGATAAATGTTGTTGCTTTACTCAAGTGTCGTGTGTGCCCCAAAGCCAGCGAGAGGATTATTTGTCAAAATATATTTCATTCAAATCAATCTTGAGCAAGGAAAAATAATTCGTATATTTATCTTGATTGAAAAATAAAATATGGAAAAAATGTTTTCCAAAAGTTCAGGTCACATTCTAAGCTCATCTCATTAACGTCTCCTTAAGTTTTAACTTTTTTATTATTGTTTATTTATTTCATTTATTTTATTTATTATTGTTAAAATACATAAATACATTCTTTGCATTCAATTCTTGAAGACAAATTATTTAAAAAAAGGAATTGTTTGATAAAAAGGCACCACCACTAGCAAGAATTTTGCTTAAACTTCCAATATAAGAAAGACCCCATCCGCTGCAGTGAGTTTTGATGCTTTTTAAATAGATTACTTTCCTCATAATATTATTTTATTTTCAATGCGCACTTCAGCCACTTTCGTTATACCAACAAAATGTTAAGAAGAATTATTATCTTGATTTTTTTTTCTCAAGACAATAAATGATAATAATAGATACAATTTGAGACAGATGGTGGATAAAATTGTAAACAACAATAAAAAATTTAGAAGAAATTATTGAAAAATTAACAGATTAATGACAAAAACCTAAATCAAGATCCAAGATCAACTCCATTTATTTAGCATGCAAACTTTTAAATTTCAACCAATTCAATAATATGATATATCATATCATTCCAAATTGAATTTTGACTTTGAACAATTCCTTTTTTGCCGTTTAATTTTCTACTTATAATTCCCCTCGGTATTAATGTTATATTTACAATCAATAAACGTTCGCTAGTTTGATGTGCTCATCGCGTAGTTCGGATGCGTCGTGTGTGCGAGGAAGCGGCAAATGCGGTGCGCTCGCAATTATGTATCCAGCGTCGATCGGCTGGCTCAGTGTGTGTGTATTTGTTTATCAGCAGCCGAGCGCACACAGCACACCGTATTTATTTGCACGCGCGCTTTGCCGGTCGCTTTGAATAATCATCGCTGTCAGCCAATCAATATGGCTGGCGCGCGGTGCCCTTTGCTAAACTACGGCACAATCCGCTCCCATAAATTATATCATCCACGAAAGCGTGCATTAAAATTTAATTTGCGCCTAATTTGCGAAGCGTGTCGATGGCGGCCGTCGTCATCATGACGCCGACCCGCCTCCTCTCTGTTGCCAATATAATTATTTACACATACTGCTGTGTTTCAGCCACATGCACCAAATCACCCACCTTTGTCAAAGGCTATAATGGCTGATATTGGTTCTATGCGTTTGTTCGCTATGTTTGCGCACCGAGGCACGCCGTCCAATCTATGCGCGCATTATTTGCCCACCGACGACTAATTAGTCTGTATGGATTGAAAAATTGCACGCTCCGCTTTAGCTTCCATGGCAGGAGCTCTGCAAACAGTTAATTATTTAACAAGATGAGTTTTAATTAAATTTGTTGAAGTCGTTCTGCTCACTTGCTTGTCACACAAATTTGCACCAATGAAGGGAGTTTGGTTTAAAACTGCGATGTAAATTATTGAGTTAAAATACAAGGACTATTAAATAAATAGATTATAAATTTTCCTCTAATGCATTTTCCAGACAAATGAAATTTCATTGTGATTGATTTAGCATTTAACTTAAATATTGAGTTTTATATATGTGGGAATATAAGAAGAAATGTCAGAATTTGGGAGTTTTTATTGATTTTTAAAATGAGCATTTTATAATAACCCAGCCACCTGGATAAAATAATTTTTTTTAATAAATAAGAAATTAATAAAGCTGTAGCTGTTTACAAATATATACACTATTTATTATTGTACTGTTTGTATCAGATTATTTATTAAAGTAAATAAAATAATATGTTCAAATAACCAAATAAATAATTTAAAACATTTTTTTAAATTAATCATTAAACGCAATATAATAAAATTTTTACAAAAGAAGACCTAGTTTTATTTATAACTACAAGCTATTTTAATAAAGAAAAAATAAATAAATACAAAATTGTTCTTTGATCATTTCAACTAAAAGGATAATGTCCTACTTTTTTCGTAGATCATTTGGTAGCGTAAAATAATTTGGTACTTAATGGGAAATTCAATTCAAATAAAGAAATTGTTTGAGCAATTTTAATAAATACCCTCAGGTAATGTAAAATAAAAAATAAAAAATCTTGAATTTCGTTGTCACTTTGCAGCGAAATAATGTTTCTCTGGTTGCATAAGCAGATGAAAAACGCGCGTCGCTCGGTGTACTGCGAGTTCTTGAGGAATTTTAATAAATCCACCTGCCGTATAATTGGCGCGAGTTAAAAGCTTTTTCAGAGCGCGAGCGTGCGAGATAAAAGGGCGAATAAATTTCCCACCTGCATAAGGGATGAATATAATGTGGCAGGGGCGGCGAAGGTGGCAAAAAGTATGTAAATACGCCGCCTTTGGGGGAGGCGAGCGAGAAGAGGAGAATATAATATTTATTTCTTTTTTAATGAGTTTCCGTCTCTCCGTGTTATTGTACGCGCCGGGGAGAGATAAGAATTTAAAAGCATTTCTTATATATTAAAAAAAAAAAAGACAAAAACACAAGAGGAAGAAAGAAGGAAAGAAATAAAGAAAAGGAAATTTATTTCGGGGGAGCGGAATGCGGGAGGAGGGAAAAGCTCAGCGCAGAATAGAAGAAAG